TAGTTAGGACTAAATTTTACTGTACTTAATGCTATCGATAAATAAACTTATAATGTTATTCTACGACCTAACGTCAAACCATTTTTAAAAACTTCTGTTGTACAAAATGGTTAATAAAGTATATTTACATTCCCCTTTTGTTGTTACTTCTTGTTTCATACAGCAATTGTAGCGATTTGATCACTGAATGTTGCAGCTATCTGCCGCAGGCAGACTGTTTGTCGTCGAGTGAATAATGCGCATGCGCAGTTTTTCTTGAGGAAACATTCTAACTACGCATATTTATGCAGCAGGTTCTCGGTCAGAAAGCGTAACTGTCGTACATACAAACAAGCAGAATAATAGTATAGATTAAAACTATTATAAACAGTTAAGCTATAAATAAGACTTTAAAGTAAATAATTGCATTAATATTAGAAATTATCGATACAAAATTTCTGTTCTTACTATATTTACATTTTTATCCATAACTCTTTGTGTCTGTTTACTTATCTGTCTGCAAATCTATCTAAACCAAAATTTATTATTATTTTTAAGTAATGTAAGTACTAGAAACGATCGTAAAATATTTATATTTTAAAAAGAATGGAAATATACAAAAAGTTGTTTACGGGGAACGCCGAAAGGAAAGAACGGTATTAAAGTGATAAAGAAAATGATCTCATTTTCCATTTAATCTTAACAGATGGGTTTTTATAGTTTATCAAAAAAGGTTACCAGAAGTTTATCTATATGCTAGTTGATACATATATATATATATATGTTTATACATAGAAGGATAGAAAGGCTAGAAAGAGATACTATGTATAACATACAAGTAGGCTAAGAACCTTTAGCATGAACTTGACATTTTTATTTCGTCACTTGTTTTTATTTTAAGAAAATTGGTGATATACAAAGTGCTTATAAACATGTGTTCTATTAGACGAGATATTTATATAAGTAACCAAATAAAGTTACAAATACAAAGATATACATATACATTTACCTTATAGTTAATAGCATATCCATAAATTGAAGTTGATATTCGATCGATTTATCTGTTTGTGTAAACTGAACAGTGCATACTTTATGAGAAACTTGGATCTAAACAGACGTTCACGTCCATATCATCATTCAGAAGACGATACTAATAATTCGCTGCATATAAAACTCGGCTAAAGAAAAATGAGTAAATAATTATTCATTAAAACAGATGTCAGAATACTGTAGCATAAAAGTGTAATGAAAGCATTTTCATTATATTATCAATGGGCAGGAAAAAGATATTCACAAGTAATTTAGCAAAGAAACTATTTTTCTTATAAAAAATGTCAATTTTATATCCCATAACATACAACTTTTTCCTGCTTAGTTTCTTGAATCGATTAATATACTCTTTCATGTCAATTCTACGAGACAAGTTATTAAACTGTTGTGACGTTTATTTATTAAAAAAAAAGTGTCTTGTTAATTTATCCTATAACAAAAACGATGGAGGAAATCTGTCAAAGTCAAAACATATGATTATGTATTTCTCGTCATATGATCAAACTTATAACTCTCTGCTCAAACATTATCCCTATATTTTTTGTACTTACACTTGATTTCATCACTTTGCTGAAAATGTACACACTTTTATACCAGTCCGACTTTTAATTTTCACTGCTTTTAATAGACTTTTGGAACATTTCTAAGTATTTCTAGAATATTAATTTTAATAAACAATTGATAGTGTCATTATTTTGAATCAGAATAAAACCAAAGTGAATGCTGTAAGGAATTATAGATTTATTTTATAGCTCCCCAGTAGCACAGCGGTATGTCTGCGGATTTACAACGCTAGAATCCGGGTTTCGATACACGTGGTGGGCAGAGCACAGATAGCCCACTGTGTATCTTTCTTCTTAACTTTAAAAAACAAAAACAAACATCTTTTTTTTATATGATAAACCACATCATGTTCCCCTGGTGGCTCTGCAAAATGTCTGACGAAGATTTCTTTTTTTTTCACGCTGAAATTCGGTTTTCATTATCAGGTAGCCTATTGTGTAGCCTTGCGCTTAACAAACAAACAGACAAAACCAAATCACGTCATCAGCAGAACTTGCTAATTTCATATAAATAAGTATAACATTAACAAAAACAGAGTTATCACTTACCTGATTTGAAATTTGATTTTTTTTTTATTTTTATAGAATATTTTGAAACACCCAGCTTAAATTATTATAGCATTTTATTCGGCAGAGAAAACGTAAACCTTTTGATTGGCTATTGCATTTAATTTTTAGGCAACGGCAAAAAGACACCGTTATCTAAAACAGAATTACTGGACCATAATCAAGAAAATCGTACTTGGCTAATCCCAGGTACTGTATTAGTACCTCACTCAAAAGGATGCTACTGTGTTGCTACTAAATAAAACATTAAGACATGAGAAACATACATAGTTGACTGTTAAATAACACATTAAGACATGAGAAATATATAGTTGCTTTTAACTAAGCCCTTAAGTCATGAGAAACACATATAGCTGGCTGTTAAATAACCCATTAAGGCATGAGAAATATATATATATATATATATAGGTGCTGGTTGCTACACTTATATCATTGATAAGACTATTACAGCAAATATCCATTCATTAGTTAGCTAGGCCGCGTATTTTGTTTTACTCCCCATCATGCCCCAAGTTCTATCAAATGTAGAAAATACAACAAACTGCTTTTGCCGTAATTTTAATTGTAAATATAAACTACTTTGCCGGTTTTTTGGTTTTTTTTACCTTTTCTAACAAGCTGTGTAAGAGTTCCTACATTGAGTAAGAGTCTTTTTATCCAAACTGACACCACTATCTTTTTCAATTTTACTTTATATTCATAACATACACGTAGAAAGAGTCTTATATATGCCCAGGACCTTGTTAAGATAAGCAGTAATGTTACTAGACACTCCATTTCTGATAGAATTTAGAACCCCCTTCCATCTTTTGGCAGTCTCAACTCTTAATTTATTCGTCAGTCTTTACATAAACAATAAAACATATTTTTCTTTGAGATATATTTTCTATAAGTTACACATTACTTTCGTTACTCTTCACATTTATTTTGAAATATTTAAAACGCGTGGTATAACATCTGAACGTGAAAGAGAACTTTTGTATGAAAATATACGTAGCTTGGAATACGAATCAGTTTTCTAATCAGTTTTTTTTTAAAGTATGAAATTATAAAATCCATATACTACAATTATAAAACCGAGTGTGCTTGCTCGAGTGTGTCTACAAAATAATCATGACCTAGATTGCATGGATAACAATGTATGTTTGTGTGATTCAATTTTGCGCAAGGCTACTCTAGGACTATCTGCGCTAGTTGTCTTTAATTTTGAAATGTTAGACTAGACGAAAGGCAGCTAATCAACACTATCTCTCGGACTACTCTTTTACCGAAGTACGTAGATAACAATATCACAACAATGATGTTAAATTACTAGTCTCTGTTCGCATCTAACCATAAACGTTCTCGGCTTGATGTATGTTAAATACAGGCAACAATCCACTAATTTATTAAACGATTGATATCCCATCGCCACAACTTTACCGTAGTTGAAAAGACAGTTTTTTTTTTTACCATGGATTATGTAGTTAAAAATGGTGTTTTTACACTAGGACGTAAGTATAATACTTGTACATCACGCAAATAGAATTTCCTATATAAAACTTAAATTATGCACACACACAAATTAGCTTGAAAAAAATTGTTTAAAATCGCGAATTGTTTTTTTTTTTTGTCATCTAAACCTGATGGTTAATTTTTAATTAATTAAGAGATATAAATTAACATCCATCATTTGTTTTAATTAATGGCATAATTTTGTGTGTAGTTCTTTCGATCATTTGCTCAGTTTCAAATAAACAAGTCGTCTTGTAGATGCAATAACAGTATAAATTATATGAATATTATTATGTACACTACAAGATATATTGATGTATTTGTTTTTACAATTATCCTCTTCCATACATGACAGAAACCTTGTCTCTACAAATGTGTTGACGTCTTATGAATGGAATATATTTCATTCTTCTTGTCAGTCTTTGCAACAAAAAAAGATCGTTAAAATAGAACTGTGTACAAACCCTGCTCTTCGTCTTAGGGCTTCTTTCACTGTTTGGCAGCAGATTAACAGTAGAAACATATGTCACAAACTAATTAGTAGTTAGTATCTTGTAATTAAAATGATAGTAGATAATTAATAATTAAACTTAGATGATCGTATACAATAGAACACTAACTATGACAACACCTGATATCCGAACGCCACAACCTTACCTATCGTAACTACTTAAAAACAACATATCCAAAAATTCTCAGAGAAGAAGTGAACAAAACAACGAACACTAGATCATTAAGCAAGAAACTCGATAATCCGAGCTCCTTAAGGCAGACCTTCCTTCTTAAGTAGGAGTGAATTAATTTAGTCTTGAAGAAGTGTGGACTATTTTCCGAAAGCTCTCGTGTTATTGGCTCTCTTGATGTATATAAATTTTACCCCGTGCGAATTCTGAGTACTGTGAAGGTCAGAATCACTATAATATCTATATTCCTATAGCAAACAATTCTTGTTTTATGAAATAAACACCTTCTGGCTAAATAAATGCCAAATTACCAAATATCCCTTTTAAAAGTTGTTTTAAATTGTTTTAAACTTACAAGTTACATTACAAAACTTAAATAACTTATGGACAAATATTTCATATATTCCTATCTATCAGTATTTTGGGTTATAATTTGTAGCTTTTTACGGACATTTGTTAATCCATATGCTTAAAATATGTAAAATAAATTGTGATAATCTAATACAACGAGAGTAGACTTATTGCTATTCTGAACAAGGCTTCACCTTGAGATTAATCCTTCTTTTTCTTGTGACTTATAATTTCATTTAGAAGAATCTTATTGGTCAAGAATTACTGACTCGTGCTTCAACTTTATGTAAAATAAATAAAAAACAGTACATACTGACGGACTCAGTTCGTCCAGTTCTTCTAACCAGCGGCCTGGCGTAACTCCTATTCGGCCAACAATGGGTCCTGAAATCTTAAGCAGAACAATTTTACACAGCTTAACACCAAGCCTCCCATCGACCGCAACAGCCACTATGTAAGTAAGGGTAAAGCACGTGTACGGACCGAGCTCACTCGACACGAGGTGGAACAGAAAACCGCAGAGTTATGAGCAGCGTCATAGCACGCTCATCGAGCATGTATAATTATTTGGGAACACTGCATGCTTTCTTTTTGTATTATTTCGTTACTGTCGAATTATATGAGATATACGTAACACATGTTTAATAATTCCTTTTCATTATAACTTTTGTTCTTATACATTAGTTGAGTACTTCTAGTTCACCAACTCATAAAGAAAACGAAGACATATCTTGTATACATAACTTGTATGACTCCAGGTGAAAATATAAACGTAAAGACGTGAAACCAAAAAAGTATGAAACAAATTTTATAATTGAAACTGTATAAAATCTGTACAAACATTCACATAAAGCCTTTAATTCAACTTCAGCGTAGGGTTAAAAGTAGCAAACGTATTGTACAATTTAGTAAAATAAGCATCACATTATTAAAATATTAAATGATAATAAACTGTAAATATAAATATTCATGAAATCCACACAGGAAAGCTCCTATACGAATATGCTATGAAAATCGGAAGAAAAAATAGTTGTCAAAAACAAAGAAAACACTTATGTTTAGGTGTTTTTATATATCTATGTATTCATATAGACATTTTGACTGGGCAAAGAAAAGTAAACTTCACGTATTAAAAAAAAATGGCTTTTACAGGCAAAAAGGAAACCTGAAGGTTGAAAATCCAGTCTGCAACTTTTTGCTATTAACAGTTCCTTAGTAGGATTACGCTACAGTTTTGAGCCTGGGGAAGATCCAGTTTCAATGCCATTTCTAATTATGCACCTTTTTTTTTTCTCAGACTTTGCTTAGCTATTCTGATAGGGAAAAAAATTGATAATTTTGCCATCACAGTTTCTCTAAGTTTACATTTGCTTCTTTATCAGATATGTGATACATGCTTGTTGAGCTGTTATGCACTGTGGTAAGACTTTTGGAAGTAATTCAGGTAAGGTCTTTGGAGAAAGTATCTCTTCAAGATGAGCCATCAATTTCATATGTAATCATCTACACTGTGATGTACTTTCCTTTACAGGTCAGAATTTATCTCATTCATCTCGACCTTCAACAGACTCGGTAATGGTTACCTGACTGAAAAGTCTGTAGGAGACTTTGAGTAAACAGCCTCTTATAGTGGTGGTTCTGTGAGCGACCACTTCAGATTCTTATACTTTTCTTGGAGATCTTAAAATTAGACCTCATATTGTTTTGATATCCAGGTGTACTGATATCCAACATGTAACCAAAGGTTTCCAAATACATACATTTAGGACGTTAAAGCGAATGATATATTGAATATGGACAGCAAAAGAAAAGCAAGTACAACAAGCAATTCTGTAAACCTTAACTTACTTTTCTGGCTTCTATATCCTATCATATGATTATAATAGCTACTAGAGTAAAGAGAAGCATTTCAAAACACGTCCACACGGTAGAAGGACAGGAAGGGTTATAGATTGTAATGCACTTTCAAATCAGACAACAGGTCCATGTGCAATATACTATAATTTCAAGCAATGTGTGTCACTGACTATACCAAATAACACATATAGGGGAGAAAACTATAATCATACCAATCTGTACAAGTACTTGTGTCACCTCTTGTGATGATCTTGTCCAACTTAAGGAGTTGAAACTGACATAACACCAAAATGCTACAAGTTTCTAAGAAAAGGATTATAACCTGTTTACAACCTTTCAACCATTAGTTGACTAAAATGTTATGACTACAGATATATTCTAAACTAGTAATGCAAGAGTGTAAATACTGGCTATTTCTGTTACAACAATCCTTCCAACTTCCTTATTTCAAAATCTTCCAGACACTAATATTAAACTGAAACATTAACTGCAAAATCAGAAAGCTAATCGCAAGTTGTAAGATGCTGTAATAATTTTCCTTAGGTGACACAAAAGACGCTTACACTAAAACAACAGAACGGTAACTGAAACTGCAGCAACAGTACGAAAAAATTTAAATATAACTAATAAAAAATTCAATGAAACTTTTTTTTTGTTTGTAGTTAAACAACAGGCTACACAATGGGCTATCTATGCTGTTTCCACTACGGATACTGATTCTCTGTTTCTAAAGTTATAAGTCCAAAACTTACTGCTGTGCCACTTCCGGGCAAATTAAACATATGTTAACATAAAATAGATAAAAACTCAAAATAATACATTGTGCAGCTAAAATAAACTCAGATAAATAACGATGCATAATACAAAAGCAAAAAATAAAACCATAATGAAATTCTACCTCTTATTGGTAACTCTGAATAATTCCTTGAAACCGGTATAACTCAGTGACAGGTCAAATGATAGATTGTATTACGTATTTATTTTTAATATCTTAATTAACAGCTTGAGTGGTGAATAAAGTAAAAGAATAAATTAGTAGCATTAAAGAGACATTCTTCATAACCAATATAAATAAGTAAGTTCACTGTGGGGAGCAAAATAATTGAAAAATAACCACCATACATAAAGATTCAGAATTATAATAAGCCTAGTCATTTTGTTTTTAACAATAAATTCTTATTTAATATCAGAATTGACAATGTCCCCATTCAGCACTTGGATACAATCAAATATATTGGTATTTTCTCTCGACAAACATCTTACCTGGAATGATCAGAAGATGGCTCACAACCAGAAAGTCACTTCCTGTCTTACTTGTGGTCACATTGCTTGGATTTCCGCTTCTATCAACTTTTAGCATTGACTACAAGTTCTGAAACATCATGCTCTCGGATTTGCTTTACATATTAAATTACCTAGGCTATAAGAAGAACCATATCAACGCATCACATTCACATCAATTCTCATCCATCTTTAGGACCTTAGTATCTGATATGTTTGACGATATTTTCTCAATAAAAATGTCATACTTGCCGATCTTCATCCCATGCCTGTCCGATCACCTCACAACCTTTTACTATTAGTTGATCATTTATTGAACCTGCATGTCATGTCACTTCTGCTTGACAATTTCGATCATAATATCCCTCCTCTACCAAATCTATCCAGTTATATTTATTGACTTCTTAATCATTTAAGTACCACTTATAGTCATTGAACTACTTTTAACACTTCCCACTCTTTACCAATGATATACCCAGTGCCTCTAAAAACTTTCATATAATTCCCAGTTATATCATTTTTCTCAGATCTTCCTACATGTAACTTATATCTTCAATGCTCCAGTTTTTGTCCTTCTTTCGGTCCATGCAGTTAATACAAAGAATGTATATCTCCCCATTCTAAAGATCTCCTCCCCATTCCTTATTGTTCCTGGCTTGTCTTATTTATTTGTTTGATTATCGTTATATTTAGCAATTGTACTTTGACAATGTACAAAGACTTATGTAAATTTATTTTATTTTTGCTTTAGATACTGAAGATGGAATCTGATAGAATTCAGAAACGTTTATCTATGTTCCCTTTTTGTCAATAAACAATGCTGTATATCATAAGTGTCGTAATCTTGTTTATTATCAAACTTTGTTTTCTTTCGAACACATCGATTCTAGTTTCCTTAACTGCAAGAAAATCCTTCAGCAACATTACTTTTTGTAACTGGTGTAGTGTAGATTGTGAGAAATCACACATTTAAAAGTATTATTGTTTGTGAACAAAATGTGTTTATTCTTTACCCCATCAAGAAAATATAGAGCACACTATGTTTTATATATCAATAAAATCTAAGCTGTTATCTCCAGTAAGAGTACACACCAAAATTTTGAAGTATCCTGAAAAAGTGCACTTTTGTGCATACATATCATTTTTGTGTGCAAAATTAACATTCAACAGAAAACATTCTTCTGCTGTGCTGTGCATGTATCTATCATTAATTATTAGTCAGCATTTGAAAATCATTGTTAATGGACAGTCTATGAAGTTTTGAACAACGTTTCGAGCTCTAGCACAGATCTTCATCAGGTCAACCTTAGTTGTCCTAAATGCATATCTAGCATGTTTCACATTGTCTACAATAAATTAATTAGATACAACTAATGATTACTTTATAATGTCAAATCAACATCTCACTACAAAATATTATTCAATATCCTAAAAAGTAGGAGCTACAATGCTCTTTTAGCTGTCAATCTTTCAACCAAACAAATGTCTAAATTTTATAATAATATCTTCAGTGCATTGAGATCATGAATTAGCCCTTAATACTCAGAAAGAAAATAATTTCACAGTTTCTTTCTGCCAATGACTTTACAATTAAGTGACAATTCTATCTACTGGTCAATCAGCTAATTTCAGCTATTATCATTAAGAGGTATTTGTCGTTATCTCAACCATAAATCAGAGCTGGCTGACTGACTGCTCCTCCACTGCCATTTCATCATCTGACTCTTCACAAACTGCCAAATATGTATTACAAGTGCTTCATCCTCATCATCTGAGGCAAGATCATATGATACAACATTCATTGGATCAATCTGATCCTTTACTTCTGATCCCTGTTCTTAAGAGTCACATGGGTGAGGTAGATTGTGAGATTGTTAATATGTTTGACATGTAGCTGTGTTCCATTTGACCACTTTAACTCATAGTACACTTTATTGGGCAGATGAAGGATAACATATGGCTCAATCCAGCCCAATCCACTGGAGGCGTGTATCAAAATCATACCTAGTGTTCAGACTCTAACTTTTATTGAATTACTGTTTTTGTCGTGTATTTTAACGTACAACTATTTAACCCATTTATCGATTCACAAATTTATGTTGCATCAGCGGTTTAAGAATGCAGCCATTCCATATATTTCTGTGGATTATCCTCCCTCTTTGTGAGTTTTTCTACTCAGCAGTGTGCAATGAGCGTAATTTTTACTCCATTGATGATCGTATTGGCATGAATGTGGCAAGAATGTGCCCTCAAAGTACCCAAGAAAGCTTGTGTGGCAGTATCTTTATTGGGAAT